TAGGCAGTTCCAGAAGAACAGAGTGGCAGTTGCCAGAGGCAGGGCATTTGCTGATTGATAGATCTGGAGCGTCAGTGATAAGAGTATGTTCTGGAGCTCCACTGTGTGACACCGTGTCAACAGTTAGCAATACTGTATTGTGCACTTAACATGGTATCTGCCCTCTTAACTGGTCTGCAAGTGTTCTTATCATAATTTAAACACACACCCAACCAGGTCTTTACCAAAAATGGAAGTTAATGTAAGACGGAGGACAGACTCAATCAATACAGAGTCTCCCTTCCCAATTAATGCCAGGTTTGTACAGTAGAAAATATTTCCCCTTTGGCATCATTGCATACCAGGACTCGAAGGAGTGTTTTCAGGAAGGAGTGTTGATTTCACTGCTCATTAATGGCAAGCCTGGTAATTGAGGTGAATCATAAAACTGGCATAATGGAAGGAAGGGGAGGAAAAAGCAATGCTCTTGTGTTGAGTGGGCACTTAAATTCAAGAGAGGAATTAGGACAACAGAGCTCTGAGGCCACCATGATCCTGTGTCAACCTCCTGCACCTGCTGTGTGGCCGTCATCCCCACTCTTAACTACAGCAACGCATGCAGGCCTACTCAAAGGGAGTGCTCTGAAAGAAATAGGAAGCAACTATCAAGAAAACACGTGCCATCTCAATGCCACGACAGCTCCAAATGCACACTTAAAATAAAGGCATTGAGAGGAAAAAATGAACAGGTTTATATGAAAACACTGACTTACATTCAATATCTACTCTGTGATAGTTTTACCTTCAATATAAACAATTTTCCTGCATGTAACACCATTTCAGAGTGTCTACCACAAAGAACAGACTCGGTAAATAGAGGTTGTCATTATGTTATGCTTCACACAAGCTGCCGGAACTGAGGAAGGCATGCACGAACATGGTGGTCGTTGGAAAGAAGAGATTTGGCTTAAACCCTGGCCCTGCAGCTACCTGCTATAGTCACCATGCACGGGAAACATATCCTTTCAAACTCTCAGCTTCTTCCTTCATTAAACTGGAATCATATCATAATGTCATAAAGAATTCAATGAAATAATATATAACAGAAACATGTCTGATGCATTGAATAACAGTACTATTGTTTGTCTTTTTACTTTCCTACTCACAATATGGCTCATAGCCAATAAGAACAAACCCATGCAAAGGGGCTGGATGGATGAGCCAAGAACACTCCACCCACACTCTGATTCATTTTGGACACCTGGTGTATTTTCCTTCCTTCTAGGAATGCATCCTGGCTTGAGTGAGGCCATTTAGAGGATGAATAATCCATTATTCCAATCACGATAGGTCCTGCTAAGCCATACGAAGCTGCAGAGACCCAGCTGAAGTCACAGAGATCACTGGAAAAAGGAGGGAGTGTAGTGTGGCTACTGAGGACAGGCACTGAGTGGTCAGGAAAGCCCAGGAATGCATCACAGGAACACACTTGTGCCTGGCTATTTGCGTGCACCTGGGGGAGTTTGTTTTTATCCTCAGTTTCTTCATCTGTTAATGAGGGTGTACATATCATCTTGCAGAGCTCTTAGGGAATAGAATAGGTGTATTTACTGTCTCCTGGACACATATTAATAAGCACTCACCAGTGACAATATTTACAGCAGGATTAGGGGCCAAATTCAATGAAATGAGGTTAGACTATTTAGCTTGTAACTATTAAAGAAAAAAAAAACAGGTAATCCTTACCCATTCAGCAATCTTTAATAGAAGAACTAGGTTTTCAATTTGTATTTATGATATATTGATGGTATTTTTATTAACTGGCAATACTGTTACCATATATTTTATTTGCTGACTTGATTTAATTATCTTAATAACCTGTAAAGAAGATGATATTATCCCAATACACAGATGAGGAAACCAAGTCTCAAAGAACTTCCGAGATCAGTTGCCTGACGGGGAGGTACCAGTGATAGGATCTGAACCTCAGCCTAAGTTCAAAATATATCATCTTTCCAATAATTTATACAATTATATTCTCTACTACCATAAGATATATAGTACTCAAGAAAATAGCAAATGCTCAATTCATGTTCCTAGAAGGGAGATGGTAAGAGCATGGATTTTGTCTTTATTTTCTCCTGGAAGCAAGTCTATTAGACCTAGATGCAGGTACAGATATAGATAGAGGCTTAAGTATAAGACTTTTAAAATACGTAATATTTCCTGTTTGACAATGTGCCCTAAAAAGTCATTGAGTTGTCTTATGGTAAGTCAAACAAACAACAAATGACTGTAAGTTTTAACATGACCTATGACACAATAAATGCCTATTTCTTGCTGGATGGTCAACTAAATACTCCACCAAAAGATGGATGCATTCTTGTCATAGATACAAAATACAATAGTCTTAAAGAGAGAACAAGGCTTCACTATTTGTGACTCAGTAACTCCCTGAATATCCATGGCCTCTAGTTCTGATCGAAAAGGTTAATGTCTCTCAATCTGTCCGCCCATCTCATGAGGAACCATGCGCTGCTCTGGCAAGTCAAGAAATCATCTACTCAAATCTGCCTCCACCTGCAGTCACAACTCTGTGGGGCTTGCCTGGTAAATGCTTTCAAACAGCATCCACCCCTTCTTTGGGAGGGACCATAGATGTCAAGGAACTAGCACTTGCTTGACATCTGTCAAAGCACAGATATGTCTGTGTCATCCAATGGAACTTTATCTGCTCAGCTCTTTCTGATAGTACAGTGCCAAGTCCCCTTTAATTTGCCCCAAAACAAAATGTTCTCAAGTTGGGCAATTGTTCCTAAGTGGCTCCATGCTTCCTTTACACATGCCTTTCATACCGGTTCACAGGTATAAGAATAACACCACCATAATAATAACAATCAACTGCAATGATGATCGTCACTTGATTTTCTGTGAATTAGAATTAATATGAGAGAATGTCTATTTTAACACCACTGAATGGATGGATTCAAAACCTGTGGGGAGAGGACGAACCTGATTTTTTACCCAGTACTGCCCCTTTGAGCTGCCTGGCACTGGGGTATGAAAAGTCCCTCACACCTCACTTCTAGCTGATTGAGAACATGCCTCTGAGCAGGAAGTCCATTCCTGCTGGGACTATGGGTTCCATGTTTGGAGTTTACCCATAATTGCCCTGATATCTGAACTCTTCACTTTTCCAAAGGATGCTTGGTTTGGCATACTCCTGAGCCCCCTGTGTTCCTTGCTAACTAGAGTAGAAATCTTGTCAAATTGAGTGCCAAAACAGGCCCCTTGACAGGTCTCCAAGTTGGGCCAATGTTGCTTATCCTCTTCACGGTCTGCACTTGCACTTGGTTATGTGCAGAAAGTGGTCATTTCTCTTCTCTCTTTTTTTTTTAGAGAAAGCAGAGTAACATGAAAATGAAGCAGATCCACTCATTAAAAAAATAGCATTGCCTCTAATTTATAACATGATTTGAAAATAAATCCATTTCATAACTTCACTGTTTTAGTCACAAAATGGATGCCCCTGTCAATTTATTTTTCTGGTTACTTCTTGCCCTTGTATTCAATATTTGACCTTTGAGAGACATAATTCTCTTAGCCAAATGCAAGGAATTCTGTGTGTTTCTAGCTTATTGAATTCCTTCAGAAATGAGAATAGACAAATGACCATTCCTCAAATCTCCAGGTGGTGTTTTACTTTCTTAGAGTTTGGGCTCTTTTGAAAGAAGCTTATTTTTTTGTATTCTTATTGGATACAGTCTTTATTATCCTGAATTTAGAAATGGTTTGAGTTAAAATATCTTTTCTGGATCTGAGAAAAATTACTTTTTGCCCAAATTCAAATTATTTGGGGCACTAGCAGACTATTCTGCTGGGTTTCACTTCCAGCCTCATCAATTCAGCACCTCTAGTGAGGGATGAGAATGTAATACGTAAAAAAGAAGTAAATAAATAAAATCTGCAGATCATTTATTTGTTTAGAGTTTCCCTGAATAAAGTAATTAGAAGGATATTAGTCTCACATTTCTATGACCCCAGGGAATGAGCTGGGTATGAGCTGGCTTCAGACTTTCAGAGTAACTGGACAATTCTCTAAAACTGTTCCTTCATTAGGTTTTCTCTTGCCTTTTTTCAACAAACGTTTTCAAGACAATATTGGAAATCCACACTCACACACATCACTAGCCAACACTTCACCCTTGGAGACCAGCTTACAAGTTATAGATTTGCAGTGCTCTTTTGGGAACAAAAGCTATTTAGCTGGAGTGCTATTCTGTCATTTGGGTGACCAGCAAAAGAGAAAAGTTGTATGCAGTTCGATAGCAAAAACTTTGAGTCTCATTTCTAGAAAAGGCAGAAAAACTTCATAAAGGATCACTTCTCACCTTGGGAAAAATTTCTGAGCAGGTGAAGTATAAACAAAAGGTATCTTTGAAATGGCAGAGAGAAAGATTTTGTCTGAAAGTCGCCAATCCAGATATGCTGATCTACCAGAAATACTCATGCAGTGATAAAAAGATAATTTCAAAGCCCAACACCAAATGTAGACATAAGATAGGGGCTTCTTAATGTCTTCAGACAGTGACATTATGCCTCTAAATTCTTATATATGATTCACTATAACTGTCAAGAGAAAGAAGAAAAAGCAGCAACATTTTCATAATGCTAGAAAAAAATGCAAAAACCAGCAAGAACAAAATAATTTAAAAGATCCACCCAAAGGGATCACAAAACACACGTAGTTTTGCATTCTCATTGAGAGCTCTGAAAGGAGCAATAGCTTTCTTCATCTCGATACCCCTGGCTTCAGGCACTGTATGTAGCTCTGAGTAGATGTGTGTGCACATGTGTGTGCTTCCATGTTCACATACACATATATGCACACACAGCATATCTTGACCACAGCTCTTTGGTCCTGTGAGGTCAGTCCAGAAGGCAGCCACATGGGATGCACACATAATTGCATTCTGTACTGCCTCACCAGTCACCTGATGGAGCCAGTAAGAGATAAATACCTTATAGGACTGGAAGTGATATCGGGGTCACGAGCAGTCACTTGCCCAATCACGGAGTTCAGAGCAGCATTTTCATGAACTTCAAGGAGGTAAGTCGGTGAAGAGAAGACAGGAGGCTCATCCGCATCCTCGACGACAATTTTGACGGTTGCCGTATCTTTAAAGGGCCCCCGGCTACTGAAACGTGGGTCAATGTGGACATTGGCTGCCTCCACCTTCAGTGTATATGATTTTTTGGTCTCAAAGTCCAGAGGCTGTTAAGAAATGACAAAGATGTTTTAAAATAATTCCATCTACGGTTTGCTATTTTTGAAATGACCGTCCTACCAAAAAATGGCTACCAAGATGACTGGATAGTCATATCAAGTTTTCCCAGCACCCTGCTTTTTGTACATATTTATGAATTGTCGTATACCACAGAAGGACTTTGCAGAAAGGTGTGGCCTTCCCCAGATTTCCCACCACTCTGATCTCGAAATCCTCAACTTGTCCATACAAGCTTCAAAATATAGCATTAACTGAGTGATTCAAGGGGCAGTACTTAACTAGTTATATAACACAAGGTAAACCTTGAAACAGTTTCAATGGTTTGTAATCCCTGTATCATCTGAACATTACTACTTTATACACATTAATGAAATCCATCCATTTTTAACTTCTCTCATGTTTTCTCTTTCCCTTTTGAGTTTCCTTTTTGTGGCCCAAGGTCACCAGTTCCTTGGGTATAATTCCATCCTGGCTGCATCGAAGAGCATCTTCATTTGGATTGACTGGTCTATGTTTATTACCTCTTAACCTACTGAAATACCACGATAAAAGCCATGCAGTTTCTGTCCCATTACGTTAATAGCTTTGTCACACTGGGCTCATTTACTCTTGAGGGTTTGCTTCTTTGCTTGTAAGTTACACACCTCACCTCCTAGATTCAAAATTATGTCCAGTTTGTGCTTATGACACTTCTGAGTGATGACTTCATTGTTTCCTCTTTGTCTAATATCACAGATGAATGACACTTGTAAATCTGTCAGGTAGTGCCTGCTTAGCATGCTGTTGAAAGAATCAACAGGCATGTGAGCAATTTCATCTGCAGAAAGAGGGACTGGCACAGCTGTAGCACAGCGTTCATCACAGCTTAAGTGTCTGTCCATGTCATCCGGGTACCTACTCCTTATTTTGTGTCTGCAGGGATGGCCTCATCCCTAACATTGATGTTTCATGAAAAAACTCACATAGTGTAATGTGAAAACATTACAAGCCACACATGAACAAAAAACAACAGTCGAGGAAAAGTCAACAGAAGGCCGTAGATTCTACAACCAAAGAACTGGAAATGCTGAAACCATATGAACAAGATAGTAAGAAACAAGTGGACTTGAAAATGAACTGAACAGTCAACCTAGAAATACTGATGTTGAATGCAAATGAGTTAACATGAGTACTGTCACTCTGTCAGTTGTCTCTACCATAAGCATCATTTCCCCCACAAGTGTAGAAATCACAATTCAAAGTATCAGGTTTCAGGAATGAAGTGCTTTATATGTGTGAACTTTTCTAATAAACTTTTTCTCCATTAAAAAAAAAAAAAGAAATGACAAAGACGAATGCTTCTCACTAATGACCACAGCAGCAAGAACAAATGAGTGTAATGCTGATGGATGGTAGTTCTGTGCATTTAAGCCCATTTGTGAGCCTTAATGGGATCCCTCTCCATTGCTCTGAATTCCACCTGTAAATTTTACAGGCATTTATTGATATCTGTTTTTTACACAAGTTCAGTGACTCGAATCTCCTATTGCTGTGTTTTGTTTTGCTCATTTCACTTGGAATTCACAAAATATTCATAGTCATGGATTGTGCCATCAAAGTTTCACTTTAGATTCATAATCAAATTTTACCAGTGATAACATGACCTGCATGCCAATCAGCCAGTTAATTGAGCCTCTGCTGGTGGGAGATAAGGCAGCATCAGACACAATCTCTATCGGAGAAGAATATTTTATCATTTCTGCAACAGCGTGTGAAATGTGAAGAACTAGAAATAATCATTGTTTAGTCCAAGGAGACATTCTAAAGCATAATTTAGCACTAATCTCAACAAAAAGTGTTTTCTTATTTCAATTCCAAAGCATTGCTGCTCTATTGATTGTGTGGCTAAAATGAGGTCTGTTATTTTGGGGAGTGTTCAGAGAAGGTCTCTATGATGAGTTCTGTGCTAAGAAGCAGGTGGGCATATAAATAAATATGCATGCAGGCACATATGTAGTTGTGTTTATATTTAGAAGGGACGATGAGAGCGGTATATATAGATACCGAGGTCTTACCAACCACTGAAAGCAATTTGAAATTACCTCATTGCACCATTACTGACAATATTTCTGACAGATTAATAACTCATTCCTGAGAAGCCACAGAGACTTTACTTAATGACCTAGGTAAATATAGCTGAGCAAAAGAACATAATCCCCTTAAATGACCAGAAACGCATCTGCCTCAGAACCCCTCCAGTCCAATTCCTGGCAACTCATAATACCTCAGATTTCAAGAAAGTATACCTGTCAAGGTTCAAAGACACAATTTAGGTTTTCACTGCAGTCTCCTCTCAGAGACAGAACTTTAAATCTGCAATGCAGTGTTTTGTTTTTTTTTTAAGCTGGAACACAAACCATCATTGTGAACTCTTTCAGAACTCCCATATGAGCTTTGCACATGTATTCTTGTTTTAAAATATTGCACTGATTTTTATCATTGAATTCAGTTCTAGCGGGACTTAGCTTCATCTGGAATGTCTTCTAGTAAATGAGACAAATACGCACTTCCCTGTCTATTCTGAAATTACTTGGCATGTGTACCAGTGCGTAGGTGATATGACATCAGCATTTTGCCAGTCATCCCTGCGGTAACACTTTGGCAATTTCAAATTCTTCGAAAACACTGGTAAGTACAGATCATGTTCTGCCTAAGTCTTGGCTCTTGACAAAATAATAATGTACCCCCAAACATCCTGGTGCCCTTAGGATTTGATCAGACAAAAAAAGAGGACCCATAAATTATGGAAACATGGCTCCTACCCAGTGTTCTCTAGTGTAAAACCCAAGTGTTTTTGGTGTTAAGATGTATAGTGTATGCTTCTCAGTTGGTGAATAACAGTGAATAAGAATACAGCCAGTGGCTAATTGCTTCAGTTTATAAAAGCACCTTATGGAAACAAAGGACAGCAGTTCATAATAACAATAAAAATGACATTAGGAATCATTAACCAAGGAAAATGTGGCTTTGGGTTATTCAATAATTGACTCAAGTATAAATATACTGCGCTGTATTTCAAACATGAGTTTTTAAATACTTTGTGATGCTTAATTCTAAACTCAAGCCGGGTAGAAAGGTGGTATTGCTCAGTAGAGAGCTGTAAATAAAATGCAGCCATTTTTCCTCAAAATTGATCTTAAAATTTATTTTGTATACAAAAGAAAATCCAGAAAACTCCAGGTTCCATAGCCAATATCTCTTCAACAGGGGGTTTTAAGAGCACGCACATGGAAGGCAGACTTAGTGGAAGGAAAAGAGGACTGCGGAGTAAATTTGGAGTCATGCCAATGTGATACTCATCAGGAAAAAAGGAAAAATTAGGGGATCCCACTAGTGTGGTTCACCATCTCTCTTCTTGTACATGAACAAGCAGTGCTATTTAAAATTAATTTGTACTACTTCACGGCAGAGATATGAAGAACAGTATCAAACAAAATACTCTCGAGGAGAGTAAAAGGGTGTCTTCCCTTGCAAATGCCTGTGTCTGTAAAAATAATAAACTCTCTGTTCTAAACATTTTTATGAATGTAGATATCACAAGGAAAAATAAATATGGGATATGTTGTACAGAATTTTTCACAACTAACAAAGAAATGGTTGCTGGCGAAAGCAGTCATAAATTGAATGCATCTTTTGTACATTATTAGTGGAGATGTTTCTACAGTGGTAGCCCTGCACCCAGCAGCAAGGCAAAGATGAGCTTCAATGAACATGATGCTTGGACGTTTGGTGCATGGTGATGGTACCAGGACTGGCCCTGTTCTCCCAGGGCCCCAAACTAGCCAGAGTTCCTGAGCTGATGCTACTTCTGCCTTTGGGTTTCCCTGAAAGCAGATCCTGCAAACAAGTCTTCAGTGCACTTTGTGGAGACATCCCAGGAAGCATGAGGGCAGACATGGGGAGGGTTAATAGAAGGATTGAAAGCCATTGAACTTGCCACCTCTGTGGGCAACTGAGTCTTCTTTCCTCTGGAATTCTTCTTTAAAACTATAGATAATATGCCTCAAAATAATTTCTTAAAAGAGTAAGAACTGTCCACTGCTTGAAGGTTGCTCTTCAAGTTCTGACTTCTCTACAAATCCCTGCCATTTAGGGACAGGCAGCGTGGCATAGATGGAAGAGAAATAATGGGGGACATGGGAGGCCAGCACCACCATGGTGACTCTGCCAGAGCTTTAACTGTTATGTAAAGTGGGGTCAAGCCCTGGCTGGTGTAGCTCAATGGATTGAGCGTGGGCCTGCAAACCAAACAACCATGGTTCAGTTCCCAGTCAGGGCACATGCCTGGGTTGAAGGCCAGTTCCCAACAGGGGATGCATGAGAGGCAACCATACATTGATATTTCTCTCCCTGTCTCCTTCCCTTCCCCTCCAAAGATAAATAAATAAAATCTAAATAAATAAATAAATAAATAAATAAAGTGGGGTCAAAAGTGGCCCTTGGCCAGGTAGCTCAGCTGGTTAGCGCATCATCCTGATACACCACAGTTGCAGGTTTGAGCTGCAGTCAGGGCACATAACAAGAATCAACTATTAAATGCATAAATGAGTGGAATAGCAAATCCATCTTTTTCTCTTTCTTTCTTTCCCTTCCCCCTGTCTCTCTAAAATCAATAAACACAAATTAAAGTCGCCCAAGGGGTTTGATATATAAAACAAACCCTGTTTCTTTCACAACTAAAGAAGCAGCACCTCTGTCAGCTCTAAGATTATATCAGAAAGTCCACCCACCTTCCCCAAACTTCAGAAAACTCAAGGGCCAGAGAGGCGTTTTGAATGCGAACGAATCTGCCTTAGCTTACCTTCCTCAGTCTGATAATGCCGTCCTGGGCCTGGGCATCAGAGGTGATTTCGAAGAGTGCCGTGCCGTCTCCATCGATGATGTCATAAGACGACTGTGCATTTTCACCGATGTCCTGATCGTTGGCCTTCACCCTGCCGATGGCAGTGCCAAGAAGCACATCTTCAGGTACTGAGAAGTGATACAGACCTTAGGAAAGAGGAGAGAAATGGATCATTGCCTGGATTCCATCTGCCCATCCATTCATTTAGCGAACATTTACTGGGTACCTCTTTTGGTCTGGGCACCCCTGTAAAATGCCACCAATAAAATGTCAAGGGCAAAAAAATCCTTTTGCTACAGGATGTACAATATTCTAAGTGAGTCAAAGACAAAGAGATCACAGAAGAAGTAGCGATCTTTCTTCAAGACTCTTCTGAGATATGGAACTGATTCAACTCCATGTTTACCAAGTATGTAGTTTGAGCAGAGTTATATCAAGATATGAGTGACTCTCTGTGAATGTTCTTTCCAATTTACTGTAAAATCACATCGGCTGCCTGTGGGGACAGTCGTCGTTGCCCAACATAAAATAGTGAGCTAATTTCAGCACAGAAAGATGCAATGTGTAACACACTGAAAGTCGGTTTTGAAGTTACCTTTGTATTTACAGACTTGTAGACCACTTTTGATAAAATCCAATTACTAAACTTCTGCTCTGCCCCGAAGCAAGCTGTTCAGACACATGAAACACTCCTCTTGTTACTAAAGTTCTTCCTCATCGCTCTGAACACCAGAAATCCTACCTTCTAAACTCTCTAGGCAAAATACAACCACAGCACATGCTCCCTCTCCCACGGGGGCAGTCAAACGCGTCAAATCAGCGGCGTTTTTCTTTGAATCATCCTTAGTTAGTTGTCGTTTTCTTAGTGTTACTCCTTGTCATGGGTGCAGGGAAAGCTGTGGGAACCACAACCCCTGGCTAGTGCCACTTCAGTGCAGCTCTGCTCTGCCCCTCACTGCCAGCTCCTGCATGGACTTGCCCGAGGGTTTTCTCTGGCCTTCAGAACTCACTTTAGCACTTGCCTGTCGGCCCAGAACTGTCAGAGAACTAGTGCCCGCCAGAAGCACCCCTCAAAAACTCACACAAGTTAGTATATGATATCCCCGGCTCCTCCTTTCCCTGGCAGAATAATATTTCTACTTTTTTTTTTTTTGCTTGTGTACTTACAGGAATAGCTGAGTATCCGTTCCAGAGTTGCCCCAAGGGGGTACAGCTTCAGCCACCCACAGTGGTAGTGGGCTGCTGATGCACGGGAGAGACTCTCTCTCGGTCTCTCACACCCATCCTCACTGCCCTACCAGCCAGTCTCAGCATCCTCTCCAAGATAAACTACTTATAATCAAATTCTTATCTCAGTGCCTGTTTCTGGGGAATCCAGACCCAGACAGCCGGGAAGTTTTAGTCCCATTGCAACAAAAACAAGGGGAAAATAAACATTCGATGAACTGTAAACCCAGAAGGAAAAATGAAATCTGGAGAACATTACCTAATTGTAGTTTGAACTCAATCACTGGGTCCCCTGGATAAACGAAGGTTCATTTTACCCACTGTAACAAGATTAGTTCAGACGATGGGTAAGATTTTCTTCTAGCACTAAGACACTTTTATTCAATGATGACATAAAAATGTCCCTTAGAATCATGAAATAATGGGACTGGGGAATAAAATGTTCCTTCCAAGTATTTTGCCATGAGGTAGACAATGAAAATCATCACGTTGAGCACAAGTCTCCCAGTTCTCTCATAATTGGTGTAATGATTCTGTTTCTTTCAAACTTTATATTCCAGGTAAGGTGTGAGATGATTCATTCAGGTATGCTTATCAAGTAAATAAGACAGCAAGGGACCTCACTTTGCTGCCAGCTGTGATTCAGAGAGTCTTGGGAAACCAAGGAAATGGGAGATTTCTTTATTCATTTCTATTCTGCTCACTCCCATCATCTCTATCAGTGTGATCACAGTTAATAGTTATTACCGCCAAGAAAGCGAACACTTCTGAAACTCATCTGCCACTGCTGAATTGAAACAATCATTCTTCCGAGAAAGAAGACTTGCATATTAGAGCATTAACTATAATGGCAACTAGAGAAGAAATAACAAATTGGGGAAGGATAGGAGAAATGGCATTCTCCATTCTAATAATTTTGTTAAAGAGGGTTGCATTGTTGTCAGATTCATGAATGGCCAGAGGTGAAATTTCTCAATGAAAATGCATCCTTTCTGTTCTTCCTACTTGGAACCTCTGAAGAGAAATTCTCAAAGGTATCTCAACTCTGTCATTTGCAAGACCCACTTCCTTCCTTCCCTCTCTCCCTTTCTTCCTCTGGGTCCTCTCTTTTCTCTTTTCAAAAACTGGTTCTCCTACAGTAGTTCCTACCCCAGCCCAAAGCACCATCCTGCATTTAATTTCTCATGTCGGAAATGGAACTCACCTCCTCAACTAAAAATGCAGTGTATTCTTAGATTTTTGTTATCATCACCTCTCAAATACCTATCACAACTATCGCCTCTTCCCTATTTCCACTGCAACCACCCTGGAACCCCTTTGACATGAATGATTATAATCACCCCTTACCTGTCTGCCATGTGGTGAAGGCCAGATTTCACTTCCTCTGATTCCCTGGGATCAGATACTATGACTCAAGCCTTTTAATGCTTCCCAGTGGCATCAGCATAAAGGTCACGGTCCTTAAATGGCTAATTCCTGACTCACCTCACTCCCCAGCCCATGTGCTTTGGTGGCAGTGACATTCCATCCACTCTCATCCTGTCCCTGTGTGCGCCCCCCTTCCAGGGGGTGTTCCGACACCCTTTTCCTCGAGGTGCAATGCCCATCCCCCAACCTCACCTTGTCTTAGTGAATTCCTAGTCATCATTCATATAGCGAGGCAAGAGTCTTTATGCCAGAAAGACCTCCCCAAAACATCTCTCTGTGGCAGGTTACTCCAACAACTACTCAAAAGAAAAGGGTTCTGTCCAAGTAAAAGAAAGTTGGCAAATACTGCCCGTGTCCCTTATTCTCTGGTGGTGGCTGCCTAGAATGCTGTTGAGGTTTCTGAGGCAGAGCATGTCTTTAGCAGGGAGAGTACAGTCCACGGTCACTGTTGTCCCCACAGTCGAGGGAAAGTGTGTATTTTGCAGCAAATGTACTACATATCTGCCTTTTCCACCTCATACGCTAAAGATTTAATTTCTTTTATACAAGAAGTGAAACTATGATAGAATAATATCTCAGGTGCATTTTTATTATTCTCTCAAATTTTGTTAATGGAAGGTACCATGAAGAGAGAAACAAGTGCACATCTTGTCGTCACACGCGTTGATTCTAATTCCCAGTTCCACTACTCAACTACATGCTTGATCTTTGGAAAAGTTTTTTCAACTTCTTTCACAGTTGTACAATGAGGATGCATTTAGTACCAAATAACAGGAGAGTTGGTTGGTTCATGTACATACATGAATTTTCATACCTCGCATGTCATAAGTACTCAATGGTTGCAACTGGCTTTGTGGATGCTGCTGAAAATTAGAACATACAGTCAAATGAAAACATCATATTTAGGTTCTCATCCAGTGCCAGAAATTCACTTACTCTGGGCAAATTTTGGAGGGTTGTCATTAACATCAGTAAGGGTCACTGTTAGTGTCGTGGTCCCTGACAGACCACCGGAGTGTCCACCCATATCTTTGGCTTGGATAACGACCACGTACTCCTCCTTGGCTTCTCTGTCCATGTTGGGAAGGGCAGTTTTTATAATTGCTGATGGGAGAAAAAAAATGGGAGAATGACTTTCAGACAGAGAGCTCATTCAGAAATAAATATGTCAGTCGCACACATATATGTCCATACAAGTACGTACTCAGATAATTGTTTGTTTGTTTTGACATTTAATTGGTATACATTTATGGAGCCAATAGTAAGAAAGGTTGTAGTCATAGACAGAAGTAGATAACTTGCAAAAATCCATTTTATAATGTTTTTATGAACTTGCAAAAATAGACCTTTGAAAGTAAGCTTTGTGGCACACTCTTGCTTACCAAATTAAAGAATAAATTATTACACAGCCTCCTCTACCCAGGAAAATCCCAGAAGTGAAAGAATCCTACAATTTATCACAGACTCCAATTCCCCTAGGGGAGGAGTAAATACACAAATAGCTTGAAGGCCCTGAGGTAAAAAATAAATTATTCTGAAGCTCACATTTACATTACAGATGAAAGAAGTAAATGCAATATTAGAATCAATTCAGATGAATAAGACACCAGTCAGAATTAATGCAGTCCAGAGTCTAAATCCTAAGGTACTGTTCAATTGCATTTGTATTTTAATTGCCTACTTACGTCTCCTCTATTGTCAAATAGATAAATGCTTGACAAAAATAGAAAGATACAGAAAAAGGAAAACAGGGCAAAATATGAAATTATATAAAATTACATAAAATCATCAGTGCTAAAATGTCAGTGTTTTTTTCTTTTGATACATTTTCAGGGTTTTATCTATCTGCCTTTTTGTGGGTTGTACTAGTAATTTAGTTTTCTTGTTAAAGATTCAAAATGTGCAGAGATTCTGAACTTATTTTGAAAATCTGCATTTAGTACTTTTCTTGCCCTTATATTTTTTCCATAGATAAATATTGCTGATACATATGTATAATTCTAAGGCTATTACTTATATATGCATACAATTGTGCATATGTGTATAGAAACACGTCACCACAAATATGATCATGGTACAGGCATTGATCTGGGACCTTATTCACCCAATGGATATGTCTGAGATATGTTCTTGGTAGCACACAGAAGCCCAGCTCATTACTTCTTATTGTTTATTTATGAATGTACGGTGAGTAACTTAGTCCCATATTAATAGATATTACAGTTACTTCCATTTTTTCATTTTAAATAATAATCAGATATCTTATAATGGTACTATATCTTTCCGTGTCCTGCATTTTTACTTAACTCTGTCATGAGATGCCCCTCCCCAGATTGCCTAAACCCCGTAAGAAAAATGATCATGACTAGCCTAGTATATTCCTATTGAACGGATGTGTGTTATATCTCTGGCCCAGGCGAAAGAAAACTGTCCTGATTAAACATAATTCCCCTTTACTTCTAACCCTGGCACACCACAGATGTCCAATTCAAACTGAAGATGAGCCACACTCTCGGCCACTTCTGAAGCTGTAATTCTGTTTTGGGGGTAGGGGACTCATATGCTATAATTAAATCGGCTGTCTGTAAAAGGTGTGTGAAGAGTTCAAGTCCCTGAATCACTGGAGTAGCAGGCAAAGCTCAAGAGTGTCCAGGGAAATCTAATCCAGCCAGGCAACGGGCAGGCTCAAGGAAGAGCCATGAGTTCCTATGCACTTTATTAGACCTCGATATAACTTTTATATCAGAGCCTCCCATTCAGGGAGCATTCAATTCGATATTCATGCTTATTTGAAAATGTGGATGGGAACATCATAACATCTTTCATTACAATTGTTTGTTTAAGGATTTGATTATATTATAATGTAACTCCATATATCACACTTACACAGTTATAAACAAAAACAGAAAGAAAATAAGAAATATAGCAATCACTCAGACTTGCATCAATGTGAGACATTTTTGAGGAGAAAATAAACATAGGAGCAAAAAGTAGCAACAAAAACAACAGCAAAACCTAATTATTATGATGATGAGGTACCAATATGGTAACTCTGCTATGGATACATATTTTCTAGCTCAGCATATCTTCTTTATGAACCCAATTCCAGGAGAAAGAATTAGAAATTTGTTTTATTCCCATGACAATTACATGAGTGCTTACAAAGTTTAGGTCATTGTGAACTAAAGCCATCCATGGGGCTTTGGAATTTGACATGGAACTTTTAATAATCAGAGGAAACTGACATAATTTTTCAGTGAAGACAGCAACATTTTTTTCAAAGAAATTGGGTTCAGGTCTATACTCGAGTCCTCTCACGTTAGTTCATTAGGACAATATTTACAATGCTCTTAGTCTGAAATACTGGCATATGTCACTCTCATCGTGTTGATGATATATCATGAGAGTGTAAACTAAAGTACAACAGTGGTGTCTCTCAGACACGCAGAATTAAAACAGTTTTGAGGCTCAGCTGAAAACAGCATACTTGGATTAGTGTTTATGAGTTATATCAGGATGTGAGTGAAGCATCATGATGGAGATACTTGTTTCGACAGGATGTGATGAGCCTGCTCCATGGGTCTGAATCTATTACAGAAATGTTCACACCCTGCACCGTTGAGCTGTGCAACCTCTTACTACCTAAGATGCATCTCTATTGAGAAGTTGGAGTTCCTTTACAAGAGGTTCCTTATGTTGAAGTCAAGCAACTTTGGTTTTTTATATTATTCTCACACTTGCTAGCTTTGTGATCATGGACAAATTACTAAACCCACCAGGATGCAATACTATGTCCTGTGAAATGGAGATAATAACCAGCCTCTTGCTGTGGCATTCTAAGGTTATGTGACAGAATTCATGAAAAGGCCTTGGCACACAATAGTTACCAATCACGCTGTTTCCCTCCCCGTTTTTCCTTCCCGAACAGAATCTATCTAGTGCTTATCTAGATGGTAGTTAGAATGCTGGACGTTTTCCAGTTGCTTCTCCAGACTCTCTCTCCAGCATTCTGTGCCTCCTCTTGGTATAGGAGAGTGCACTTTACAGACTGCCTCAGTTAACTCACTTACTTTCTGACTTTGTGTTAGACTCAACCAACGTGCATTAGCCTAGGACAGCCATGTTCCACTGGTGTGGAGCTAAGAATTTTTAACACATGCACTACCTCACTATTTAGTCTGAGGCACTGGCCTCTTTTCCCTGAGATGGTCAAATAAAAAAGTGACAGCCGTCAACACAGCAGTAGCCTTCTGGTGCCAACGCTCCATCTTGAACCATAAACATATACATCATGTAATAGAGTTGCGTCATTTTGGTCATGTGGCATGGCCAACATGACCAAAAAGTACATTTACATCTGACTGGCTAATTCTCAGTACTAAAAATCTTTACACACAAATATAGACACCTGATTTTTAGGAAGTCACTTTGGAGCAAAAAGGGTAGGCAATTACTTTTATTATTATTATTTTATAATTCAAGATTATACCTATTTTGGTGGGGTCAACAGAATTTTAGGAATTAATTTTCATGTGTCCAGAGATGACAAATGTTGGAAATCACTGCCCTAGAAGATGTGAGGGTGGAGTAGGGTGAGATTATATATTGCCCCCCAGTCTCCCCAAATACCTCAATGTCATGGTTGGTCTTTCTGCAGTTGTTGTCTTGGGATATTGCTAGAGCACAACTCCAGAGTCCAATAACTGTCCCCTTCCCTTGCTCCTTCAAGCCTAGGGATGATGGTGACACTTCCTTTACTAGCTTGGGATGTTTCACTATCCCTTGGCCTTCAGGAACTGTTGACCACGGTATGGCCATCTCTCTTCATCTGGCCATGGTGTGGTCAATAGTTCCTTAAACACTCCTCAATATCTCCATTCCTGCCGGAATCCTATTAGATGTGATTAGGATCCTACTCCCTTACTCAAGTGTCAGACATGGTCCCAGCACACCATTCATCCACAGACATCTGCTGATTAAAAAGTGCTTCAATGAATAGCATCGGACTGTCCGAAGGACCACTCCTTGAGATTAGCAGGGCATACATTTGTTTCCCTAGCTCTAAAAAGGAGAATAATACCTATTCACTTAAGTCAGTTGCTCAAAATGACCCAGCTGGGAAGCAGCACATCTGGGAGCCTTCACATTTCCTCTTTTCTTATACAATGTTGGCAGTAGGTTTCCTGATTTCTAAGGCAAGCAGGGAGTCGCTCAAGGGTTCCTTAGGGCTTGCAGCATGCTTCACTGGCTCCAGTACAAACTGGGTAAACTTCAACAGCTCTGGCTTTGTCTGAGCCCCCTGCCTCTAGCTTCAACCTTACAACTAGCAGTAACTCATTAGAAAATCCAAGACAGAATTTCTGGAACATTTTCCTGCGACTCTGTGGCTGTAAAGGCAAGATAGAAAAAAAACACACAACAAGGGCCTTTAGTCCTATTTTTCTTCCCATTGGGTTGGGGCTAATTTATACATGTTACTTAACTTTATTTTTATTCCTATTCAAAAGACAGACCAATCCACTTGCATAAATATTGCAACATATTGATAAGCTTCTAAACTATAAGTTTAAAAACTGCCTGAAAACTTCCTTTTCCTTCTCCATAAATTATTTCCTTTGGCTCACAAATTCCCCAAGCACTAGGAGCTTCAGGCGGTTTCTTTTGTAGATGAGAGAACTTCTGTAATTAAAAGAAAAATACATTGTTTGGTGTTAAATACCAGCCAACACAGAGCAGAAAATATAGGAATAAGGCTGTTTTTCCTGTTAGACTTGAGAAATCAGAAATTTGACCCATGAAGACAAAAAAAAAAAGTTGCTAAAGTGCTCAATGAAGTGGTATGTTTACCCATTTTATACTTTGATTTTTAAAAGGCTGATGGGAGCTCCCCAATACCCTTTTGCCAGAATAAACAAATATAAAACACCTTGTAATGGTGCTAATTTTAAATAGCTTCCCATTGCCCATGGTATGACTTGGGTCCCCTTTGGTCACGGTCATGGTCAAGCAGCACCAGGGCCCAGGCCTCCCCACATGCTTCCAGTCACACATTCTCAATGCCCAGCGATGTGTTCAGAAGCATCAGCATTGTGTTGAAACACCCA